GTGAGATAGAAAAGTGATTGAATACATATTTTTCTGAAATCCATTGTTTCCAAATACTTGAATCTAGCCTATGTGATTGTTTTCCGGTGACAAATAAACCATAATCTTAAAATTGCTTACCTTCATCTAACGATAAGTTATATGATGGATAATTTCCCAGAGATTTGTTACGTTCTTGTTTAGCTAGTCGGGATTTGATAACACAGATACAATTAAGTGTATGACGTTTAAGCGTTTTAGTATTAAGATAATTATAATTGCCCACCAGTGCCTTTTAGAAACGTTAGGGATACTCATTAACTCCAATACAGTTTTCTAAAAAACTGATTTCAATGGCTCAAGTTTGACGGTAGGATGTTAAAATCCATCGAGTTCTTTTATCGTCATAGGTTCCCTGAATTTTTTGCAATAGATAAATAATTATCATAATGGGTTTTGTGGAGATTTTTAGAAATTTCATAGGTTGAAATCATGAGTCAATTGAAGCTAGACCACCATGGAAAACCTGAAAGCACTAGACGGCCATTTCATCCTAGTATGGGACTACTCAGCAGTGCGCATCTACGATCCCGCACCCCGCGGGATTCCAACCCAGGACATACTGGTTCCCTGTATGAACAATAGAAATGCGAAGTTCACTAAAGGGATTTCTTTTCAACTAATTTATTAATAAGCTGTACAATTGTATACATATGAACTTCAAGTAATAATTCCCTAAGGACCTATGTACGTTGAATTCATATGATGATGTAATTGAAAGGACTTTACATATTATTATTTTCTATACCATTTATTCATCTATTTCTCTCCACTCAGTATTTTTAAGTACATGCCTCAATATCCAATCATCTGGACAATGCTTATTATATAATTTTAATACCTTGTAATGAATGTTGTTTCGATATGTCTTTTTCGAGTCCTTGACCTACTTTTTATTATGAAACATTGATTTAAGCCTTAATCATTCTTATCGCATCCAGTACACTTGTCATAACACTATCAATATGTACTTCTTACTCATTATGTTTATCTATGTGACCTATTCCACTATTATAGCTGACTCAAACTGCTTCGATTTACCTAATATTTTCAAATATGCATGTGAATATGTTGTATATCTTGAAGGTGCACTGCTAAGGAGTCCCATACTAGGACGAAACGACCATCCAATGCTTCTAGGTTTTCACTGGTGGTTTAGCTTACATCGACTCATGAGTTCAACTACTAGAAAATTACTACAATCTTCATATTAAGGCAAAGCCTGATGAAAATCTGATTGAGAATAATACTATTTATTGAAAAAAAATATATATATATATTTATAGTTCAAGGCCAAATTGTCAGAAACTTTTCGAAAATTGAGCCAAAAGATGATTAATTTAAAGAATTAAATAAAATAAGTTTTGGTGATATATATATATATACTTGAAACGGAAGCTGGTGTTATACTACTAACACTTATATCAGTAGTTACTCGTGTTTCACAAAACATCACTATCTCATTAAAATCATAAAGTTACAATAAGAAAAGAACAATACTGAAATACTGTTTTGTTGAAATTCTGAATTACAGCCAGATCGAATTATCAGTTATTTTTTTTTACAATATCCTCACCAGATATTGTTAATCCTCTATCTCTCGTGTATAACCAAACATTAACGAAAGTTTCGATCACCAAGTTCGTATTCAAAACTAAGTCTACATATATGGTGACTTTAAATTCTGCAAATTAAACAAAATAAAAATGGCATTTGGTGATAAGGTAACATGAAAATCCGACAAATTATGACTAGATTCCTTCAAATGAAGAAAAAACACCATACTAATTGAATTATAGTTACTTAAGAAAGTATTAAGTTGAAAATAGCTCTATCATATACTTAGAAGTATCGATTGTTTTTCATTTGTTCACATGCAGATATATCATACTTATTCCTTATGGATTATACAATTGGAGGTCGACTGTCGTTAACTGAGACATTTTATTTTGTAACCTGATTGAATTCTTGATGAATATGTATAGGCTACTGCATGAACATAAATGTACACATGAAGTGTACTATGATTATGAACTACATAGACTTGTATTTTAGTTTCTTCATAACGATATAATCTTTCAATTCACTGATTCAAATCTAAGTAAAAGCATCATGTCCAAAGTGATTAGTTAGTGAGTAGTGGACGGTGCCGTATGCGTATAGTTCCTGATATAGACCGAGCTCTATCTATCAAATTGGAATGTGAACATTAGTCTAAGTGACTCGACATCGAGTGGTAGATAATATCCCAGACTGTGAAACTAGTCACCAAAGAGCATCAATTGCCTCAATATTCCAGATACACCTTACTGATCAGTAAAAACTATCAAGAAACCTACGTGTTGAGCTCCCAACTTTCTACCTCCAACCACTTGATATTATATTCAATCTATCGTTATTGCCATGACTTTCAATCTTATTCGTAATTTCCATACTTAATAATTAATTATCTGTTGTTACATCACTAAATTACTCGTATATCTCAAGTGGATAATTAACTCTTGACATTTTTACTATCCTTTAGATCATTACGTAACTTTTTAATATTTCTAAACCATCTATGACGCAATCTCAGTTTATACTCTAACGAACCACTATGTATGTCAAATTAATATCAATGTAATTGTACAGCTCTCATAAATGATATCATCGAAAAAACAGCTTCTCTTAAATAATCTTTGTTTCTGAAACACGAATTATTCCACCAGTATTCTGCCGGTTAAGTGTGGGATACGTCATCAAAGAATCGGTGCTCTAATAGCGACAGTTTATCATTCCTCGACTAACTAGGTTCCTTTCGTACTTTCCTATTAAAACTACATAGACTGAATTCTGTTAATCAGTTAACTTAGAACTGTTAGTGTGACTATGAAAACTTACTGGCAACCAGGACTAATCTTTATTATATTTTGTATAATGGCTAGCAAAATAAAAAAAAACTACAAGTAGATAGTTCTTTGTTATAAATTCTCTGGGAGATTAACAAATCTTATAATTACCCAAGTCATCTCATATTTTTTAATAATTGCTTACATTTCCCATGTATCATTTAGTACCCTCTGTCCGTTATGCACGATTTTATAGTAACTTCGTGAAAATAAATGGTATACAGTACACCTCAACACGAGCAATCGAAACACTTAACTCGAAAGAGAATTATGTAACCTCGAATTTTAAATAACGAGAAACATGCTGAAATTGGGAACGAATTCGGTATAGTATACATTCAGAACAAGGAAGGAATAATTTCCTGGATTCTTTTTAAATATTTCCAGAGGTATTTATTAGTTGGAATATTTTCAGTTCTAAATCACTTCTGAAAAATTTTCTGAACTACCGAGGACCTTCAATGCTGACATGATTATAATACTGAATAGATCCCTAAATACTCTGGTAGGTGTGTGAAGATTATCCGCTCTTTCTCTCGAAACTCACCGGTTTTCAGCCTCTCCACTGATCGGAGTGTAAAATGATATCTTTTAGTAATCTGCTACTAAGTTCCGACGGGTTGCAGCCCAAAACCAATAAAGAACCTCTGCCGTCAATTTAATGATGACCTGTGATGCACACGCAATTATCACTTTGGTGGTATTTGGAAACCTGAATGTATTAATAGTTGAATAAAGCGAGCCTACCTCTCCAATTTTGTTCAGACCAACATCTGACTAGAAGTTACTTAAACTGATCACCAGTGAAGTGAAAATCTCACTCTTCTGGAGCATCTATGCAGATCCTAATTCTGACCTTGTATGAGTCGAGCCGATTTTACTTTTTAGTGGCTTACAGACATATCGTTCTCGAAGAATCGGTACAAAAAGTTGTTTGGATATTTTGCTGCAACGAAAGACCTTATTCAAAAATATTCAAGGGTAAGACTCAGTCTAAGAAAAAGGTATCACGTAGTCTGGATCAAGTATTTCAGGAGAAATTCCAAATGGACTGTTACCATGACGTCGATTAGACTCCCTTGTGCTCCTCGATCACTGACTACCGATCCGTCGAACGAAACAGAGGCAAGTAGTGTCTAAACAACCCACGTCTAGCTCTTTTTCAAGGATGGAAAGGAACTTCAAGTCAGGAAAGTTATTGAGCTGTTTGGGAAATTATCCCACAATATTGAGATGACGCAGCCATTGATCTCATCTTTAGAAAAGTCCTATGTAAAAAGTATCGGGATATATATCTGAGTTTCGCTTCAATGCTATTGACCCCGCCAAACACTATGGGTTGCGAGAGATTGATTAGTAATCAGCAAGCTGGTTTTCATACAGACTGCTAGTATATTAATCACGTCTTTGCTGTTCACCAAAACAATCACTACATCATTTAAACAGTATCCCTTGAGTAATTCAGTTTTAGGGCATACCAACTATGGAAAGAATAACTATTGAGCACTTATTATTATCTAATATATTGAGTTCAAAGAACACACTGCGCAGAAAATCGAAAACAGACATCAAAAGAATGAATGGCAACTGAAAAGGATTGCTCAGGACAGTGCTCGATGAGAGATGCGGGTGGGCGGCCTATGCTCCTCCACGAGGGGTAACAGGCGTAATTAATATATTAAGAGTGATTCAATATTGTGCAATAAACAGAAAATTAGATAGCTGCAGATTATTTACCAAAACTTCTAACATAACTGACTCTGCCACGAGTGAATTAAAGTGGTAAATGAACCAACGTTACCTAAAGGTAATTTAACATTGGTAACGGTAAACTAGAGACAATTTCTGACTTGGAAAAATGACTAACGGGTTAAATCAACACATATGGATATCGTTAGTTGGATGATTCATTCGCACCTTATCAGGGAATTAACTCCAAAGACGATTTCAGTTAGACTGATCAAAGTGTTTTCTGAGCATACTACAGTAATAGTTCCATAAGACTTACGAATAAACAACAATATATATTGACAAAATGTCCTGAAATTACACTTTTTTCAGATAGTTTTTTACCATGTAATAAATCGGAAGACGGAATACAAGAATTATATCACTACTAGTAGAGATAAAAAAAATCAAAGACAAGAAACACACAAAAGTACATAGTTTTACAATATATAAAAACAGGAGATATGCGTAAGAGTATTTGTTTACAGGAATACCATTTTGTAAACACAATGTACATTACAAAGAGACAGAAAGGTGGAGGAAAAGATGAAAATGAGTTAATGTTTATCAACTTTTCACGTCAGAATATAATTGTAAACAAAATAATGAGGCGCATAGTAGTTTCAAATCGTATTAATAGTCATGGTAAGCCGAAATCACTGGATTATTAGTAATATTATTATTCATATAGATAGTAGTAATAATAATAATAATTGTGCGTGAATATTTTCTTTCGAAAATAAGAGATCCTTGTAAATTGCATCAACAAAATTGGTAAAAAAAAATTATGAGGCAGAAAACAAAAATGAAAAAAAAAGATCGTCATGATAAGCAGTAAAAAGACAACCAAATAGAAATAATTTGGTCTTACATATAATCACTTCTAAACTTTTCTCTATTATCATTCCTTAATTTAATCGAATTAACCACTAAAATAGTATTGATAGCCTATAAGTTATCAAAGAGATGAGATTATCATTGTGCGTATGAACATTAAGGTAACGTTTTTTTTAAAAAAAAAGGAATATTTATAAAATTCATGCTGATTTAGTAAACAGGTAACCCGTGTGCGTACATTTGATCATCTAGATAATTACAAATATATTCATAAAATAATAACAGCAAAATTAACCACAAATACAAGAAGATATGTAGTATGTAATCCTAACTGTTTCTTTTAAAAGGCAAGAGGTATCTCTCTCACTATTATTCATCACCAAGAAAAATCATAAGAAAATTACACAATAATTAAAAACAATCATCCATTGAATTAAAACTGGAAGAATAAAGAAATTCTTTAAGACAATTTGACATTGGAGTATTAGATAATTTATACCATGCATTTAAATTATGCGTTATTTTAGAGGCAAGTTCACGTAGTGTAGATAAAATCATAATTAAATGAGCACAACGTGTTTGTGATCCATTACTTTCACAATAACGACGTAATAATTCAGCCCATAAATTTTGTGTACGATTGACAAAGTCAATATCTAATAAATCAGAACGTTCTAAATATAGAGATATGCGTAGAAAAAGAGATAAAAAAAAGAAATTAACAAACATATTAACTTTAATTAAGTAAACTATTTCCAATTGCAAATATATTATGTTTAATGTATCCTCTTAGATAATATTTAGATAGTCATTGTGGGCGATGGCTGACGTAGCGATCAAGGCGTTTGACTTTAAGTTACTAAGTGGCAGATTTAAACTCTGCTTTATTTAGTTTAGCTTGGACAACCATGTAGTATCCATAGCCCATACACTTTGGGTATGGCTAAAAGCTAAGTACACGGGGTTTGTAATTCGTTTATGGGTTGCTAAATATTTCTACTCGCAATTAAATGTTTAAGTCATTTCTCACCTTGCTTAAACGGTCCCTTTGCTTTCGAAAAATAGACTCATATATTTTTACTAGTTGTTAATATTGAAGGCACATATATATCCATGTGGTACTTTCTGATGTAAAGCTTGAGTGTTAATTTCTCTTTATTTATTTGTTTGAAGGGCACACTTTGTTGTTGTAACAAAGGTCCGAATACATCACAACTTGATGTCCATAAATTATCAGTATTTATTTATATTACATAATAGTATAATGCTTTTACAAGTCTTGTCTTTGAGTTATGAAATTATTATACTGGTAACTATATAGCTGGCATAAAACTTACATAAGGGTTTTCTATAACTACATGTGTAACAATATTAGTTGAGAACAAGAATAAGTACACTAAATGCAGTCATTCGGTTTCAATTTAACTAATTTATCAACGACATGTATGGAGCTTTGAGTGGGAACTCATTATTTGGGTGAAATGTGTCTAGCTAGTCTCTTATAGTTTATAATCACACTCAACATTTCAATTGTACAGTAAAAAAATTATTTGTTAATATTACTTATTTGCATTTTTCTCCACGTTTACATTCGCCAGTCAAGTGAATAACGAAACCTCACACATTTTTTAATCTATAAAGTATTATTATATATAAGCTAGGTATTGTAAGGTAAGTGGAAATCTCAGGCATATGGAATAGGGTAAAAATACCCATAAATACTCATAATTTTCAACTATTCGTAAACAAATGTGTCTGATATGAAATATTATTGTGTATACATAATTTAGCAGCTGATTACCTGGAGTAAAAAGTATCACACCAATAAGTGGTCCAAATTCCATATTTGTCAAATGTAATCGTTGAAGTCTTGAAGCAAATTGAAAAATACTTTGAGAAGTTATACTATCACAAGTCATATGTAGACAATCCAGAGAGGAATCTGTAACCACTGCATTCGGAAACCATGGACTAAATAAACAATTCAATTGATAATTTATTGATGTAGATGAAAAGTTCATTTGAGTCTTGTTCCGATTTTCACGACATAACATTAATATCTAACAAATGAAGGATACCAAAATCAAGATAAATGTAAAATAAACATGAATATTGGTAAACTATTTAATGAATTGGAGATCCTAACAATTTTAACCTATCAGGAGACAACACAGATAAATGAGTTATTATGCTTAGACTAAGAATTAAGGTATGAGTATTATAAAGCTTATGTCAATTCATGATGGAAAGGTTAATCCTAATTGCTGACCAGTATGATCTTAGAAGATGCTCTCTCTATTCTGATTAGTCAGGCGGCATACATTATGTTAACTGAAAACTCTACTGAGAAAATTAGATCGGATTTTGAAAAATTTAGACTTTAAAACGCTCTTATAAATTTTAGATCATCATAAACAATTAGAAAGAAGTTCTAAACATAAGATTTAAATTGTTTATTTCACAAATGAAGAAAATTGAAGCTATGAACGGAATTAATTACCTTACTTACCCCAAGATTAAAAGTTTATCTTTATTTTACCGATTTTTAACCAACCTTACTGGGATACTAATACTTCAAAAGGAATAAATACTTACTATTATAAATAATGCAAGTACTTCTCAAGTATATTCATGTTAGTTTATGCAACAAAAATTATTTATTATGATCAGTCAAGAAATGTAAATTCACTAACTATATTCAAACTATTTTAATTGAGTAAATAATAAAATAATTGAAATTATGAATAGTAAAGATTTATCCATTGAAATAACCTAAATAAAAAAATATGCTTACAGCAAGTTCAGGCAAACAATCTCTTAATAGGATAGATTGATCATGCTGAGAAAGTCGTATAAACTGTTCTAAATGACAGGCGAATTCATGTGTAAATTTAAGTTGAGCAGGACAAAATATTTCATCCACTGTAAGAAGCTTTAATGATTCACCCAATTCATGGGGAGTATGCTTTAAAAAAATAATAAGGGTATTAAAATAATTAACAATAATAAAATTATTCTAGATAGAAACAAAAAAAAACTGTTCACACAATAATCATAAATATAAATGATACATACTACATAGGAATGTGAAATGTTAAAACTATGAATTATGTCCAATCACATATAGCACAGATGTTGTAGCAAGGAAAGATACTATCTCATTAATATGTACCAGTAATATTAGATATTATTATGAATTCATCTCATTGTATTGATACGATTAATGGATATACAAATTCAATTAGAAAAATTGTTAAATTCCTTGTGAATGAGATGCATGAACAGAAATTAAACAGAAAGAAAGTTCAAGCAGATTAATAATGATTGAACTCATTCAATAATATTTATTTATTTATTTCAACACATAGATAATGGTACAAAGAGGCATCAAATACATATGCGCCACACAAATCTCATTCGATATGCGTGAGGGCTGTGATACTACCCGGGTGCCCAAACCGAAGCAGGTGGTTTTCTTAGGGGGCCACACCCCGAGCCTTCGACCTGAAGGTCTGATCCACAAGGCAGTGGAGCATCGTAAGGAGATGCAGTCCCATGGAAGCCGGTGACCAACAATAGGTTCATTCGCCATTTGTTCCCGCAGGATACTGGAGCCCATGTGCACCATTGGTTTGGAATCCGGTTAAAGCGCCGGATATTCGCTTTTCGTCCTCTCATTTTCGTAAACAACACCCCCGCCACGAGAAGGCAGTGAGTAGGACTTCCCTGGCAGAGGCTATATACGCGTGGCCGTGTGAGAGTATTTCGAGAGGGAGAGCGGACTCTCCCCACTCTCGGCCGTACCAGGGCATAGTTCTTAACTATTTATTTTACGACAGTAATAACTTTGAAATTTCTTTATATTACCGCTACTATTGTTCATGATTGGGATTTATGAGATAATCATATTCTATTGTTTGGGAATTTTAGAAAATATGGCTTAAAATTGGTCGTAGTGACTTAGATGTATTTATTTATTATCTTCCTCTATATATAGACTCCGTGTTATCCTATTCGTTTGATAGTTGTTTTCTTAAAAATCTATCCTTGTTCCAATTTTAAATAACGTTGACTTGATTAGTTCGACTGTTCTTTCTACCTTTTGTCTTGTTACTTTATCTTCACCTTTGTGATATTTAGTACAACTGCGAAAAATACAAATTTGAATATTTATTCTATGGTGTGTATATGTTTGTTCATAGTCTGATGTTGAATGCTTCAGACATATTATACCCATATAGTTATAGAAACTGGTGGTAGGACAAATATTGGTCGAGTATTCGCAGTAAAGATAACTAACACTACAAAGGTCTAAATTAATTTACATATAAATTTATCACTTGTGATCTATGTGATGAAATCTAAAACTATGAATAGGGCTATTTTTCTTATAGGAACAAATAACCAAATAATAGAAATGAAATATGAATATGTAGAGTAGTAACGAGACAAATCTATTCAAATTAGTAATTTGTAAACTAATAAAAATATTATAGTAATTTCAATAGTTGAGATCATGAGTCAGTTGAAGCTAGACCACCATGGAAAACCTTGTCTAGCTTTAAATGACTCACGATCTCAACCATTGAAATTACTATAATATCCACAAAACCCCTCTTGATATTAATAAAAATATGTTTGATAATCAAGTAATCCAAAACTCATTGGTACTCACTACTTTTATTTTGTCATCATTCGATGGTAATCTATCATTACAAAAGTTTTCAAAATAAGATTTTTTTAAATCACCCATTAAACATACCTTTATGGGAGATAAATGTCTTGATAAAGATCCTGATAAGTGATAATAATCAGATTTAGAAATGTTCCAACTATTTGCCTGATATTTGATAGCTTGATCTTTACAATAGTTTAAAAAACGATCAAATTTGTCTAGAGTTTGTTGATCTTCCTTAGTCAAACTGTTACTATTTTCGCTATTATCATTATTACATAAGGTTAAAGAAATGTTAGTAGAAGATGGTATTGATGAAGATGATGGTTGAAAATTAGTTGATTTTATTGGCATTTCGTGGGGATTAAGTGTAGTTTCATTTAATTGTGCTTCAGATGGAGTTAAAACTACATCTGCAGAACCTGACGAATACGCTGATGCTTCATATTTGTTTGAGGAATCTGAACTAGGCAAGGTGACTGATTCACAAGAAGACTGTTCCCGTTTTTTGCCATGACGCCTTTTACGAACAGCTGTAAGTAAAAATAAGGGGAATACTATTGATCAACAGAAAATATTTGTTTCTAAATGCTAAAAATAATAATAAGTAAACTAGAACAAAGAATGAAAACTGATGGAAGCGGTTAATTATACTTAAGAAATGACTTATTTATACTTTGTATAGATAAAGTTTACTAAATAGCTTGAAGGTACCTAGTATATCGATTGCATGTTACGTTGATTGTTATATGACTACGACAGAGTGTTTATTTTTGACAGAACTACAACAATGTTAACGATTTCATGAATATAAGGTATCTCACAGCTTAGTCACCCTGGGACTTTCTGAACATAGTTTTAATGAATACGAAGCCTCTAGTTTTTAATCTGGTGTATTAAGCACCTGATGTAGGTAGAAAAATTTCACGGCTTAACAAAGAGTAAAGGCTAAAATTACACCAATCAAGGTGGTATATAATAAACTTCCTACTTGTTCACTTTTACCGCTTAGTTTTAATGTCAATAATCAATGCTCATTATGAAGGCTGCTAGATTAGCGCACACAGTACATGTCCAAGATGCTGAAGCAGGTATTCTAACATGACATAAAATATGTTTAAAAACAAGTTGATTAACCTTGGCCTTACACGTATAGTGTTGCCATTAAACGTGGAAAATCTGTCTTTGACAGCACTTTTGGATATCTTTAACTCAAAAATCGTGTTTAAAAAGTATAGAGCACTACCATGTTATGTACAAAATACTTCATGGCCAAACGTAATATCGTGTATTTCCAAATACTAATCATCGGCTTGTGCATGTAATGGTTTCTATCAGTCTTAAAGTGCTTCATAATTCAATCACGAACTAAGTAAGTGCGATTTAGGTAGACAGTATGTCATCACATATTAAAAAGAATTCGTACAACCAGATTCCATTACTTTTCTTATAGGAGAACACATCTGGGATGTTAGGTACAGTAAAATGTAAATTTAATAAAATGAAATTTTCTCTAAACTTCAGCGAACAAACTAAGTAACGCGCAAACAGAAAGCGTCGTTTAGACAATTACAATTTTAAAAAATTTCAACGATTAAAATTAAATATTTTTATTATTTTGATAATTTCTTGAAGAAGCTCAAATTAGATAATCAGATGAAGTACTATGAACTATTCAATTACAATTACTAAGATTATGCTAAAATAGTTTGTTCTTTAATAGAAATACTGAATGATAAAAATTAAGCTCTTTATAATAATCCAAAAGATAATGAGTTTAATAGTTTTCTGTTCAGTAATAAATAAGGCAACGAATTAAACCTCATTTGATGAATACACATGGATAAATTCTACGATAATTGAACATTTTTTATTCTCATAGAAAATATTATTTACACTAATCACTATTAGTTCAAAGTATACAATCATATCTGCTTTTAAATACAAGAATACTATTTACAACATTCCTATAAATATTTATTTCATTCCATTTTAAAGTTTGAAATGGTATCAATTTGAGGTTGACAACCCCATCCTGTTGAAAAAACCTTGCTAAAAAATGCTAACCAGAAATATATATATATATCAGTCATCCATTAATGATATTACACAATAATGGGGATTATGAAAATTAATGCGGAAAATCTGAAAGTGGATAGAAAGGTAGATTAATGATTATGATAATCAAATTCAAACGGAATTTGCATATAAGCACGTGTTTGCCCATCATATATAAATGATAGTATTAATATATTGAACAACACAGAATCTGTTCTTTAGAAAGAAAAGCAAGTAATTTAGGAAATACACAGTGAAACAATGAAAATCCTGTTACTCGTAAAATCTGCAAGAAAGAGAATAATTAAAGGAATTGAAGTAATAGTACTGACAGTAATGGAAAATACAGTTTAAAAAGAGTCAATGAAGTGGTTAAGATTAGTCGTAAAAATCTAGAGGGAGATAAAAATATGAAAATGGTCATTTAATTGCAACCGGTTTTAAATTTCCACCTAAACATCTAGTTACATAATGTGACTATTTTGCGGAGTCAGTACGAGAAGTATGGACCTCCAAAAATAACTTATATAAACAGTCTATAACCTCATAAAGTGATACCACTTTTGGTCTGACTGGTACAAATGAAGACTGGAATACAAATAGAATAAGATAAAAGTCAATCAGAAGCTTGAAAGTTCTTGGATAAATCGCAATCGTAAATCTTATAGGACTTAACAATAAAATATTCTTGGATGAACGTATTGCAATGCCTACACACTCAAATTAAACTTAACTAAGAATATTAGTGTTTTAACTTATAGGTTATTCAGTTGAAGATTCTCGATCGATTTTAACATATTGGTATTAATCTATTGAAAAATGAGAATCTTGGAAAATTCGACCTCATTTAGAACCAAATTTAAGCGTACTAAGGTACAAATCGAGCACAGTATCTTATAACCGAATCCCAAAACTTTATAACTTATACCTTAGTTATATATGATAGATGATTTTCTTACATGCCGTAAAATATGCCTTCGCCAAAACATTTTATTAGTGAATTTAGACTAACCAAAATGTTGAAAACAAATAAATGGAGTCAAACTAATAAAACTAATCAATTTGAATTTTTTTTCTAGAGTTACTCAACTTATTCAACTAAACATTATTTCATGCAATATGAATTCATACTATTCTGCATCAATGTTTGTTCTTGCTCTATTTAAACAGTATTTAAGAAAGTGGGTGAATTGATTATCATACTATAGAAATAATAAGAATTCGCAAGATATTAGTCTCTCCACAAATAAATCGATAACAAAATGCATGGTATAACACAAGTTTGAATCTCGAAATATGAATATTTTCGGATTTGTTAATATGTCTAATTGATAAGTGTTCGTAGGTCACTTACAGGAATTGGTAACCTTTTCTAGAATGACCATCCCAACTCATCCTGCGAAAGACTTGACATCAAATTAAACTATTCTGAAAGATGATGAGTTAATTTTATTACGTGTAGTTCAGATTTGTAGAATCGAACGAAACAAATGCAAGAAAACAACACTAAGAAATACATTGAAGGAGAACACGATAAAAGAAGACATAATATAATGTAGATGAAAAAATAACGATAATTTAATAGTTGACTACATGAGTCAATTGAAGCTAAACCATCATGGAAAAACTGGAAGCACTGGACGGTCGATAGTATGTGGGTTCGAATCTCGTGGATGCGCACTGCTCAGGAGTCCCATACTAGAACGAAACGGTCGTTCAGCACCTCCAGGTTTTCCATGGAGGTCTAGCTTTAATTGACTCATGAAGTCAACTATTAAATTACTATAATATCCACAAAACCCCTCTCTGAAAAGAACGATAAATAAACAACTTACCATCTCTCGACATTCCCACAGCAATGCACTTGAGGAGTCGACATTGTTGACATTTATTACGAAGCGTTTTATTTATCTCACATGTACCATTTTTAGCACAAGTATATGATTGGTCACGCTGTATAGCACGTCGGAAGAAACCCTAAGTAAATTTTTTAATAGTGCTTTGTAAGTAGGTTATCGAAGTACCATATTTAATAAGAAAATCACAAATTTATTCACATAACCTTAGATTAAAAAGCTGTTGATTAGAAAGTGGGTTAAAACACGCAAAATATGTTAGGAAAAATTTCATTTTTAAACCATCCAAACAGTTTACAACAAGCATTATTGTGTGTCGGGGTAGACAACGAGTGGACACAAGTAGTATATATCCAAATCACCTTATGTGATGAAGATCCACAATTCTACCAACCGATTTTCCATACTTCATCAGTAATACATCCTTAAGTGACGCCGTTGACTATAGCCATATTATCACCCAGAAATAATTTTAAATTATGTAATAGAAACTGTAATTTACGTACGACTGAGAACGAAGTAAACACCGTTATATGACTAACTCTGCCTGGAGCCCTTTTAGGATTAATGCCGAACTTAATCCTGGGTAAAAAGGGAAGGGTTTGGTATGGGGTTAACAACAGCCCCATCCCGCAAATAAGAACCTTGGTAAAAAAAAACGCTAATGAGAGGAAATCAACCATCTGATTATTAGTTTATTAATACAACATTGGACTAACAGCAGAATAAGTCAGTTTTTATTAAAGCACATTTACGTGATGAAGGAGGACTTTAAAACAAGCCGTAAGATTAGCTTGTAATATATTTGAGTATCTGTACTCAGAAGAAAAGTGCAGAACACATGAAACAGCCCCTTTGAGACGAGTTTGCAGATATATGGAATATTATTGACAACCTAACTTTTTCAAGTACACTGCACTGGCAAAAATATACCCAACGAGATCACAAGACAGAATTTTCGTATAACTTGTTAGTTGTCTATCACTATACACATATCGAGGCAAATTTGCTTGTCAGCTATGGAGCCTTGTATTCATATCTATTTATATCATCATGATCTGAAACACGATATAGAGTACTAGATGTATTTTACGTTATTTATGAGTAACCATTCGGTGCAAGAATCTTTTATTGTCTGATGTGATTAGAATTCGTCCAACCATGTCAAACTAATTATTTACCTTTTTGTTCATGCTAAGTGCCTACCACTATGGGTGGTTTTACTTTTTAAAAGTAAGTTGTAATTGAAACTAATTACTACTTGTTGCAGGAGATATGAGTGTGATTTATCCTTAACATTTATCACTTGTTTGTTTTTTAATACACATAAAAATACATTTTTTCGAGAAGTTATGAAAACCTGAATTTGACTATCTTCAGACGCAATGGACGCTTTTAGGATCAAATGAAACTCGAGTATTCAATGTATTGAAAAATAAACATAGTAGTTAGCATACCTTACAACCCTCGCATGTAGACACACCATAATGGAATCCTGAAGCTTTGTCACCACAAACTACGCACATTCGGTTTGAAACTTCAGATGATCCAGACGATTTGTGTGTTTGGTCAACTTCTGAAATGGGGGATGTTTCTGTAAGGAAATGTAAACAGGAACTAACTAGTCAACCTCGTAAATATTCGAGTAGTGGATTATAAGCAAAGGATGTGTGAAAATTAGTGATACCAACTACCTGCCAAAACACTAACAGTCCAAAACTCGAATGCTTGAACTGATAAGATACCGGTAAATAAAAGAACAAAATAACCAGCTACCGAGAACTCAAGTATTACTTTCCCGTGAAGATCTTTGATTAAGTCAGATAATTAAATACGAGATACCAAACGTTTCCGATGATGCCTTCAATAGGAGTGGTCAAGTGTACTAAGAATCATTTAGATAATCAATACCGCTGTTCTAAAGTTAACCTCCATCATACACAGATATATGGGTTCACTTCAGACTTCAATCAAGCGAATTTGACGTGGATCTTAGTGGCGCTTCGTTCATCGGAACATCAGCAAAATCTTCGGGTAAGAGTCAAGTAGATCTATAGTTGCAAGAGTTTTGTGAGACTATTTTAACCCTAGTTGTTGCACTTCCTTCTCTTCAAAAACATTGGTAAGATACTTAAGATAATCGTAGTATTTTTCCGAAAAAACTTATTCCATAAGGTTGGTCTAGTAATGCAAATCTGCTATCATTCGAAAACGTCTAGCCATCAAATACGTCATGTAGTAGAATTTTGTTAATGTCTCAACATATCTTACAATGTACTGCATTGCATACGACAAACCTTTGCTAAAATCTATTAACCCACTCTCCGTTGTCCAGAACCACAAGTTTTTATGTCTGATAAGAATTCAGTATACAAGTGAAATCAGCATTCTGCTTGGTTGACGTAGCAGGCTTACACTAAATTTCTAGATTAGTGATCGAAATCACGTTTCAATTCCAACAACTGCAAGTTACCAAGACATTCATCATAGTCCTCCTGCCAGGAGACATCCTTAGTAGCTTCTCAACAACAAATCTATGGTAGTGCCAGCCAAATAAAACAAGCCTTACATCATGAGGCATTTGGGAAAGCTATCCGCCATATTTCAGAGAAACCGAAAAATCTCGAATATCAACAGACTGACAGGTGAGTAGTAATCCAGTAGTTAAAGCTTTTAACCACCGGGTTTCGGCTTTGAACTCGACTAAATAAGTTTGAGCAGTTGGATATTACCACAGGCTTGTATACATTGAGTATCTTAAAGTGAATGAAGCACTACTTGGTTATCGAGTTACATAAACTAAACTAAAACTGGTATTTGGATTTTAGATACAATTAAAAGCCGTTCAATAGTTAGCACGATATAAGCAACAGAAAATTCTTACATTCTGTATATTTCCAACTGACTAACAAGTTCTCACCACGCGAATGAAAACAGATGATTGTGCTTGGAAAACGATAAATTTGGTGTATTGATTCGAGAAACTCAGTCATATATACTTGGAAACGGGGTAATGAAGAATATCCTATACCCCAAAATATAGCGCTACATCGGCTGATCAATTATTTAAATCCATACATTTTCACATAATTTGAAGTCATATGTGTGATTACCTTCAACAACATGTAACAATACGAGACTTGGTAAATATAAACATTTAAATATTGAGCCACCAATCTAGGAGCACGTAATTGCGCTGTCAGTTATTTATGAACGTAAAATCTACTAAATATTCATACTTGAGTCGCCTTTGTACAGGACAGCCCTGATTATACAAAATCTAAGATCATATATGGAAATATTTGGGAGATAAAAGCTTTAAGATGAGTCAGTCAGTCAGTAACAACGTAGAACTTAGTACGTACGTACATCAGTTCGAGTTGCCATACCACATTAGCACAGAGATGCAGTGGTCGATTCAAATCCCGTAGTGGTAGAGGTAGCAAGAGTATAAGCAGTAATCGGGAAGATTAGGGTTTGGAGATGTTATTTAACGAGTATAATCCAGTGAAATAAATTTGGAAAGAGGAAAAAAAAGGGGCATGAAGAATTCAGAAGATTAGAATTTGGGAGAACACAAAGAGTGGATGCACCTGCGCTATTGCAAACGATTTTGAGCCATGTCATTCAGGGTCTCTAACCATCGGTTGCTATCATCTCGCGGTCCCCAACCAGGTAGTCTACACCTACCAACATGACTCAGTCCACTTGCCAGTGACTTCATGGATTTGTGCCATGTTTTGGTCTGGCCGCCCCTAGCTTTCTTCCAACCTACTCCTATACCACTGAATATAGCACGTCGAGGTAGTCGGTGGTTGGGCATACGTAACACGTGTCCCAGCCATCTCAACTGATGAAGTTTCACTACTTCATCAATTGATTTGCCATCCTTACCTAGTACCCGTTTCCTAACAGTTGCGTTACTTACTCGGTGGTCCCAGGATATACGAGCAATACTTCGAAGACACCTATGATCAAATACTAGTAACCTACGAATATCCTCTACTCTTACCGGCCATGTTTCACAGCCATAAAGTAGGACGGAACGAACTGCTGCGCAGTAAACACGTCCTTTGGTTGGTAGACGGATATCTCGTCTACGCCATAAATGACGCAAGTTGGCAAAAGCTAGTCGAGCCTTCTGTATCCGTGCTGAGATTTCGTCACACACCAGACCACAAGGGCTGATGAGACTTCCAAGATAAGTGAAGCGGTCGACACACTCAACTACTTCACTCCCTATCACTAGTTCGGGTGTCGATGTAACCCAATCCTGAAGCAACATTTTGCATTTCGAGGGAGAGAATCGCATCCCGAACATGCTTGCATTGTTGCTTAGAGTGGTCAGAAGACTCTGCATTTTGTCAGCGTCTTCACCAAATAAAACTATGTCATCTGCATATTCTAAGTCAACAAGTGAACCTCCCGGTAGAAGTTCAACCCCCGGAAATTTAGATGAGGAGAGTGTTATCTCTAAAAGTACGTCGACCACAAAGTTGAACAAGAATGGGGAGAGTGGACAGCCCTGACGAACACCACTTGAGGTAATCAATTCTGATGACAGTTCGCCGTAAGCTCTCACTCTACCAGTTGTGTTCGAGTAGAGAGCCTTTATAAGGTTAATGTACTTCTTTGGTACTCCTTTCAGTGACAAACACTGCCATAGAACCTTACGATCAACAGAGTCGAATGCCGCCTTAAGGTCGAGAAATACTACCATTGTGGGGCGTCTAAACGTGTGTCTGTGTTCTAGAACCTGACGTAGTGTGAATATCTGATCTATACAACCACGTCCAGGTCGAAAACCAGCCTGATTTTCTCGAGTCTGCTCTTCACGAGCTTTGATTAGGCGTCGAAGTATTATTGAGGCTAATATTTTAGACACTATATTAGTCAAACTGATTCCTCTATGATTGTCACAAGAGGACTTTTGTCCTTTCTTAAAAACTGGCACAATCAGTGATTGAGACCAGTCAGATGGGATTACGTCCAGTTCCCAAATTCTACCTAAGACCTCGGTTAATCTCATTGCTAATACTGCACTACCATCCTTAAAAATCTCAGGAGTAAACCTGTCAGGGCCTGCTGCTCTCCCTCGTTTCAGATTTCCTATGGCTTTTTCAACTTCATAAAGAGACGGAGGACCTACATTAACTTGCCATTCAGGTTGACTGGAGATCGTGGGAAACCGAAGTGTGGCTGAAGGCCAGTTGAACTGATCCCTAAAGTGTTCTGCCCATCGATCCAATCTCCTGGATTGAGAATGAATAATATGTCCATCTTTCTCTGAGATTGTTTCGCTAACAGTCGGGTTCCTAATTCCGGTTTCCTTAACGAGTCTAAACAATTGTCTGCTATTACCTATTGCCGTTGCCTTTTCCATCTCTCTTGCTTTCGCTACCCACCACTGTTCGCGATCATTGCGTAGACTTCTTGTTAGTTTGCGCTTAAGCTGACTCCGCTCTTCACTATGTTCAGAGCCAGGTGGAATGAGTTTCCGAGCATCTATCAGTGCGATAGATGCTGCTGAGATCCAGTGTTGCTCCCTAACCTTCTGGTTTACCTTACTAACAGATATCACTGCTGTTTCCACAGCTTTTCGGATATCATTCCATGCTGCCTCGGGGTGGGCATCACATACATGGCTGCCTAACTGTTTTCCTAGTTGTTCCTGAAATATACTCTTAGCTTGACTATCATTAAGTAGGCCCCTAAGAGGTTTCCTTGCAGCGGTTTTCCTACGTCCAGTAAGACGCAGGCAAATACGCGCTCGTACTAGAGCATGATCTGAATCTAGGCATGTGCTCCAGAATGAGCGACAGTCTTCTATCGAGCCCCTCCATCGGTGGCTGATAGCGATGTGATCTATTTGGGTCCAACGTTGGGACGAATTAGGGGGTCGCCATGTTAAAAGATGTTTTTCCTTATGCTTAAAGTTAGTATTTGCAAGGAACAGGCGATTATCTGAGCATAGCTGCAACAGACGGTCGCCATTATCTGTTCTTTGAGCCACTATACTATAAGATCCACCCAGGTGTCTTTCCCTATCGCTTAGTTTACCTACTTGAGCATTAAAGTCACCGGCCACTATTACTACATCCGAGCGCTTAGCTTTTCGGAGAAGGTCCGAAAGCTTTCTGTAAAACTCATCTTTTACATCATCTGAGCTGCAGTCAGTGGGAGAATAGGCAGAGACGACGAAGAGGCAACGACGAGTGTCCCTATCTTTCCGGGTTCTTACTGTTCCGTTCAGTCGGACAGCGCACAAACGACTGTCTACTGGGATCCACTCTAAGAGAGCTAGTTCTGCCCTAGGACTCAATGCTATACCTACGCCGGCGAGGCCACGGGAAGCAGAATCAGGGCTTCCAGATACACGAAGCGTAAATCGAGTCGGTTCTTTATTTTGGCATGGTGAGGTCAAATGAATGATGCTACTTGGATCCTGTATGCGCGTTTCGGAGACGCAACACACATCGATGGCGCGAGATTCTAAAGTCCTAGCTAAGGAAGCCTGCTGTCCTATTTGGCACAGTGTTCGGACGTTAAAAGCTCCTACGTGTAGTTTAGAGCGTGGTTTGAGGAGACCAGGAATAGAGTTCCACGTACTCGAATCGTTTGCCCTAGCGGTGCGAGGTGATAAAGAGACGTGAGGAGGGTTAGTCATGGAGATAAGAGAGGTATTAGAAGGTGTATGAAGGATTTGAATGTGACCAACTTGGTCTCGCGTGCTGTTACGGGTATGAGGGCTGATGTCACTTCCCGGCTGCCCACACCGTGGAAGGGTATTTCTTGAGGAACCTGAAAAGGAAATTGGATTAGTGTTGGTCTTAACGACCTGGGAGCGTGACCGCAGAGCCCAAGGGACAACTGCTTGAGGCCGGTCGCGCACGGCCTTTTTGTAGAAGGTTTTTGACGTGTTAGCTCCGTTCTTCAGATGGCCTTACCGCCGGAGACGGAAATCCGTGAGGTAAGGTGAGGTGTGACATTTTTAGGGTCGACCTTTTCTAACCCCACCCCTCCTTGTGGGAAGGCAGCATCGCTGTCATGCTGATTGTCCGAAGGAAACACCTTACTGCTGTCACACCTCTGTACAGTCAGCAGTACGACTTCGCCCTCAGACTTTGAGTTGCTGCTTTTAGTCTTACCGTTCACCAATCGACCTGCCTGGCATGGTAGAACCTACAGGAACATATGTTCCAGCCAATATAGCTCGGATGGGTCATCACGATAGGCAAGTCCGACCACCACGTCAAGGTAGCAGCTTCGGTCGGGTTTAAGATGAGTGGACAAGAAAAATAGATTTTCTTCCTATAATCAGTCAATCATACAAAAACAACTTACTTGGATGGGTTTGATGTTGAGTTGTCTTCTCGGTATCTACTACAGGATAGTACTGTAATAAACTTTTGTCCTCTGAATCATCTGTTAGCATACTTTGATTAACAGACGACTGAATACTATTATTAAGTAACTGTTTATTACAGGAATTCGATTTATCATTTGAACAGCGTTCATTATCACAATTAACATCAGTGTCATTAAAGATATCATGTTCAGAATTTCGATCATTAATAATAGCGACAAACACTCGATCCAAATCTAACCCACCGTCTTCTAAAACAGTATGGTCCATAGAAAGTGGATGAGTGAAACCAGTTAACAAAGATTCACTAGATTGGACAGGAAGACTTGGGTTTAATGATTTTAGAGGTTGTAAAGAAGATGTAAAACATGATTGGTTGTGTGCATCTGGAGTAATAAACGTCCCAGATACTATTTCGTGAATGGTCTCTGATTTTATTGGATAAGGAAGATTGTTATCGAAAACGCCACTGTTCTCAACGTAAGAGTGTCCCGGAATTACAGTAGGTTCTGTATCATAATATTTATTAGGAGAATAGTGTGAAAGGTGATTTGATTTATCCAAGAAAGAGCCAACACCAGGAAGAGTCGTACTTGATGACAAAGAGTGGTATGAAGGACTAGACGACTGACAATCTGCGAACGAGACACTAATAACAGAATCTGAGGTAATATAAGATATGGTATTCTGGGAATTAGGATTTGAATATTCTACAGGACAACGGCTCATCTGGTAAGATAAGGGAACTCAATAAAGCATTATTTTATCCTTTAAAATGACTGACTGCTAGGATTATAAATCAATCCTATATTCCTGAAAAGTCAAGAAAACAATAAAATATTGTGTTACTCAAGAGAAATGACATCCTATAAAACTTTAACGGTAAACTAAAAGTTATGTAAGAGCTTATAATGTATTCTAGCTTGAGAGGTAGAACTTGAATATCAGAAATTGCTAAACTATGAGTGAGACACTGATTGCAACTTTGAATATAATCATGGCAGAAATGACTGTTGGTTTCACGACATACTTCAGACATCCGGTTAGCTCAGGATGAAAACCTACCTCACGCTCCTTTAGTAAGCCAAAATGCTACTTAGGTAGTCTTTATACTGCCAATTTTTATCAGAAATCAGTGGTTTCCTTGTTATTATTTTGCGTCTTGCAATATATAAAAAAGTATGGACTTACACCTAGAGGTGGTTCGAGTCTATGTAACCTTACAATCAGTCTTTTAAAAATTTGCTTCAACGCTGAAGTTTTTATGGCTTTTACTTGTCCACGGTTTGAGTTGCAAGTTAGCACTTTAAACAATTTATTCGTCTTTGTTTAAAAGTAGCAAGTTTAAAATGCGATTCTTTCTCTCCAAATGTAAAATATTACTTCAGTCAGTCAGCTACAACGTAGGACCAGGCATATATTTGCATCGATCCAAGATGCCATACCTCAATAGCACAACAAAATGAACACCAATTTAATAGAAGCAGTTACTTCAGTGGTAGTAAAAAAAGATTTCATATGATACATGGAGAAAGAATTAGTTCGCAAAATGATATAAAGTGATTTGAATCTTACGGTGTAAGGGAAAACAAAGAGTGTATAGACCTACGTAACTGTGACCGATTCCGAACCATATCAACGAGCCTCCAACCAAGTAGTTTCTATCTACCAACATGACTCATGCCAGAAGTTAGTAACTTTACGGGCTGATGCCACGTTCTGGTTTAGCCGAACCTAACTTTCATCTGTCTTCAAAATATGTTACCTTAGGACTAGCCTGCAGTAGCGCCTGAATAAATGATAGGGAGTGAACCAGTTGAGTACATTAAACAATTCACTTAAGATTCTCATTAGTCTTGATGGGCTGGTGTCTTAAGAAACCTCAACAGAAATCCCAGTTGGCTTACGCCGACCCGCATTACTTGTGGCGTAGGCCAGATATTAGTTTGCCAACTAAATGATCAGTACGTTGCTCAGCAGTTTATTCTGTTGTAGCTCTAAAGTTTTCCTTTGAAACTTGAGGACATTCGTAGATTACTAATGTCTGATCATAGGTATCTTAGAATCACTGCTCGTATATTTTAGGATCATCAAGGTTAAATGCATAGTACTAGGTAAGGACAAAAAATTGGTTGGTGAGGCAGTAAATCTTTATTAACCGAGGTGATTAGGACATGTTACTTATGCCCAACCACTGCCTACAACGATGTTCTTTGTAGGAGTAGGTTGGAAGAAAACTAAGGGCGACCAGAATAAAACCTGTCACTAAACAATGAAGTCATAGACAACTAGATCGAGCCGTGTCAATAAGTACAGACTAACTGGTTGGGGTCCGCGTGATTTCCGTGACCAGTGGTTAAACTTTGAATGACACGGTTCAAAATTGTTTGGAATGGCACAGGCGCATCAATTCTTTGTCTTTACTCAAATTTTAAGCTACTGAATCCTTCATAACTTTTTTTAACGCACCAGTATGTGTTTTCTTGCCGAACTGCATCCTTGATGACTAAACTTTACTACTGATGCGGATATTCCCTCGACTGCTCTGGTATTTGTCCTGACAATCTCATATCTCTGTACTTATTAGGTATGGCAACTTGGACCGATGTGTATACTTACCAGGTTCTATGTAGCGACCGACTGTTAAAACAATGCAGGGTAAGGCGTTAGGACAGTGTGTAAAGCATAGCAAATGAAACTAGAAGATAAGGGTAGCTTGCAAGTAATAAGCCACGTGCATTTGCGAAAAGCTTTGTACATACAGCCGAGTCACCGAGCAATGCCGAGGTTAGGCCGCTGTAAGAACAATAATCGGTTGCTTGAAGAGCTCGAAGACAAAGGTGGGTTATTAGCTACAATGTGTTACTTAGAATCCCTGGCAAATAACAATTTTCTCTTCCCTAGGAGTCTGACAGAAATAAAAATTTACTGATAGTTTCTCTTGTTTTTAGACAAATCTAAAAGATGTTAGGTCGCCAAGACTAACAATCAAGTCTTTTTCTTTAAAAAACCACGTGTGACTAACACCCCTCTTTGGCGGAAACTTTCCAGAAACGTGGAATAAAATCATCCCGCCTACAACTGAGTAGACGGAATTGCATGAATTACAAACATTGTACAAAGTAGTATGTTTTCTGTTACTGTCTAAAATTTTATTTTCATTATTAACAGATAATACAGCTCCAATAACTTTCACAATTATATGTGCCTTCATCATCTACCTGTGCAGAATTATAATTCACTGGTTCGATTTGCTTAACTGGGCTGAGATTACCTAACAAGCCTGTTTAAATTTATCTCCGAAACCAGTTGCTCACTCTCAATTATCGGAATAATGAAGAGGCATACAATTCTGACAAATACATCACAGAAATGCATGTTATTAATCTACACAGTATCTTACCTTCAAATTTATGCAGCCTAACCAAGCCGAATGGTTGCCGCTACAGACTCATTCGAACATTACCAACCTAAACAGTAATACAGTGTCGTTGTCTTCAGTCAGACCGATCATTTAGTACAGACAACTAAAAATAGCCAATCATACTTTAGCCTGATTCGCTGTTTACTTATTAGTCACTCCTCGCTTTTCTGTAATTGGCTTATTGTGTAAATTTACCTTTGTCGTCAGCTTAGTCATTGGTCACGTGTTTTCTATCATTTATCGAATTTGATTTTGGGTGGCCTGATAGGTTATGTTAATACAGACTCTATTGGCTCTTCCCCAAAGACATTGAAGCGAAGCCTGTCATGGTCTTGGTATTTTTCCGTACCTTGTTTCCAGGTTGAAGTTCTTTCAATTGAACCCATGGTTGTATCCATCTTGTCGTGATAATAACAATCCTTACATCTGTCTTGATATCGAATTTTTTCCCTTTTAACCCATCGATAAAAAATATATTTTTCAAGTCACAAAATTGGGACCCGCGAAGCGTTCTGCACTAAAGCTAGTTTTTAATCAGCTCGGTCATATTAACTGTAGCAACTTGAGTTTAACAAATATTAGGGTTCATGCGGGGTATAAAACTTTGTTTTGCCTACAAAAAGATATCTAAACATTGATTTACGCCCCAGAGTAAGCTGGTCGTTAATATGTATTCAGATCGTGGTAGGAAATCTTGCTCTAATCCCACTATCATACAGTACTCGAAGACCAGGAGTAATAAAATAGATATTAACCTGAGCAAATCAAGTTTGCGTAACATTTCATATGTGAACCTCAAAATAACCAGGCTTTTTCTTGGCTGACTGTATCTTCCTCTATCTTCGCCATTGTTATCTATTCTTTCTATTTATATCCGATTGGGGAATTTCCACAAATCATCGAAGTAAACTTCGTTCAGTTTATTCACTTAGTCACCAGGATCAAACATGATTATTTTTGTCAGGTACTTTATTGGGTTTTCTAGGTTTGTTTGGTTAAGGTGAGCAAAGTGATAAGTTACTAATAGAAGTGAACTCTAAATCCTCACTAGACAGATTTCTGAAGACATTTTGAACTAATAGATACTTCAGTGTTGGAGTTTATAATTCTCTGTAGTTCCTGTACTGTCCTATCTTATGTATGTTTTTTCCTGCTGAATGATGCTTCGATATGATAATGAATCGTGGTTTTGTATCACTCATCCCACTTTGTCTAATGGGTAGCTAACCTAAATCATTGAACTCATTACAAAGTTCAAATCATAAGTATTGGATTTGAATTTTATTGGGAACAGAAACAAGTATATGCATCAATTTAATAAACATAAAATATGAAATATCTGAAATTCTAAATCTCACTGATATTAAACTCCAAATTTAGTCTGAGTAATTTGGTATACTACAGCATCCTGTAATAAAAAATTGTCGAGAGTCATCCATCTTAGTGTAAGTTTATTCTCTGATCTCTCTTCGTCTTTTCATTTTTTATTGTTATCGAAAGAAGTTTTCCGTTTGACTTATTATATAAAAAGGCCACATACTTTTGGCATTACTCGTCATTTACTTTTACGATTTATAAATTCTTTGATATTACCTACTAATTTTTACTGTTTCCCATTATTCTTCCCCGGGCTTTTGAGTAGAGATTTTGCTGAGAGTGCTGAAGACAGTTAACAGAGTGTGTGCTGAATCTTTTGAGGTCATTAGGAATATGGTTCTGGATAGACATTTAGAATTTTGCAAACTCCTGGCAAGTGTTATCTTATCAGAAATTAACCATCTACTTCATCTGCATCCTTCTCCTTATATACCTTCTGGAAGAACGAGACGTCAATACATTAAAATCCATGCACTCAAGCAAAGATATAAAAGTTCTACAATACCTTATCCAGTAAGTGCACACTGTGATGAACAGTTTCTAAGAGCTGACCTAGCCTGTATTCTTAAACATGTTTCTGATTAAAACTTGTAGAAATTCTTATCTTATTAAAAAACATTTCACTTATTTCCAAGTAGTTTATTTATTTAATTCATGAATACCTGTATGCAGTTATTGGTTTCTTTTTATCTCGTCTTGTAAATGGAATCTGTCGAAATACTTTGTGCTGAGGTTTCCATATTGTACTAAAAATATAACGTTAACTAAAGCCATTAATAATAATAATAACCCTCTAAAAATTTAGTTTTATTAGACGTCTAGGCTTTCAAGTAGACTACTCTGAGTGATTTACTAAATAAACTGAAAAAATCTGTTCCATTAATCAGATTACTGTTACTTCACTGTCAAGATTTTTTTAATGACTTCACTACAATGTTCACTATAAATATTTCTTTTTGAAAAATGAGAACGTCCTTATTATAAATGATATTTTGATATCTAATTTCCAGAATTAACGAAAATTTATCATTTAAACATTTAAAGTTGTCAATGTGTATTCCATTTTATACAGAGCGACTGATGATCAAACTTAGTAACCATTGCTTAACTAAGTTTTCATAAGTACCAGTACCTATCAGTGAAATGCTATTGATATCTAAAGAGTGTAAATTATTTTACCAAGTAGTATAGTCATAGATATATTGATTTAATTTATTGAGTTCTATAATGAATACTTCTTTTTGTCATCTTGAAAATGGTTGATATCACGTATCAATAAGTGTTGTTCGAAATATATAACTTATTGCTTTCGACTTGAAAACTTAAATGATTAAAAAATAAACTTAATGAAATGGCAATGAATGATTGACATAACCAATTATGTAACCATGAACAAAATGAATAAAAATGAAAATAACTTTTTAATATTCAGCTTATATTTTAGACAATTTATGTAACAGAATTAGCTATTAACAATGCTCAATAGTATGTTACTATTTGAATACAACTCATCATTAGCCGAAAATCTAAATAAAACCTAATTATTACAAATACTATGTATAAATAAAAAGTTTATGAAGTATTCATCTATTCTTTTTACTGTAATAATGAAACAAAAGTAGGGAAAAAAAGACAAATGTTTCATCTTAATGTAAACCTAATTTAAAGTGTGATTAGCATGTACATCTATACAGTTTAACTCAATCTATAAAGTCCCCAAACAATAATTTGAATTTCCCTAATTCCAACTTAACTACGGTCTATATGTTTTCTCTTGAATTCAGTCATCAGTAGGATGTAAATGGTTTTCATTATTTGAGAATTTTCTTAGGATTCTGGACTCTAGAAAGAAGAAAGTTAAGGTAAACTCTAAGACACTAAAATGAAGCGGTACTTGTAATATTCACGTAGATAAAGTTATCCCAAATTTACAATCGTGATTTCTAAGCGTTTTAATCACACATTTAATTATGTTTTTGAAATGGTTTAAGTTTTGTGAATTATTCAGGTTTGAATGGCATTACGGAGCTCATTCTACCAAAGGATTCAAATAGTTGAACACAATTCATTGATATCTGAGAATTTTTCTGAGCCACTGAAAATACTTTAAACATTGAAAACCGTTAAGCTTGTTTGAGACTAGTTAGTTCGATGACATACTTCTTGTGTGATTTATTAGTATATTTCTTCAGCTCACCATTACAACTTAGAGTATTAATTACATGCTGATACTACATTTAGGCGGTTTGTGGTTTCTTCATCTAAGGAAAACTCTGATTAGGATCACACCATTTCCGAATAATTTATAACTTAGTTGTTTAGTGCAAAATCTTGACAGTTAATTGGACTAACGAGCATGAAATATTTTGTCATGACGATATTTTCAAATCTATTGCTATTTTTTTTCATAAAGGTCTGTTGTTTGGAATTCTTCATATTTAAGATTGAATTACTCATCCTGATTCTCCATATGGATTCTTTAAGCGGGTGTTTCGATATTAGCGTGTTAACACAAGTTGACTGTATATTTTAATGGTAAAATCGAGAAGGACGTACTTCATTCTATATGATACTTGGCATTTGAAGATGACTACTAACTAATCAGTGGACACACTAAATCAGTAGCTTATTTTATAACTTTTTGATGTTTAATTTATGGTTAACAGTGGGAGGCACGAACATTAAGCAAATAAACACCGAATAGGACGAAATCCATGTCTTGGATTCTACTACTAATCACTTTCCTTGTTGAAAATATTTATCATCGAATATTTTGTATTGATTGTAGAGGCTGATGATATGCCAAGAAAGTTAGAAACTTACAAAAATACTTTTTGCATGAATTTCCATTAACTGAAGAATAAATGAAAATAAGGGAGCTCTGAACAATTATTCCATTATACTTTACAACTTCTAGTCGTTATGATCCCATAATCTCATATGAAGATAAATTCTTGACTCTCAATTCTAGTGACTTTGACTTTATTTTTTGTGATTAGTCATCAATGGTATTTTTAGTACTTTGACTTTACTTGGAGCGAGCGCTAATCACCATGAAATCATCGTTATAACAATTCAATGCTGCTCTTCGTAGTAAGTAGTAAAATTCGAAATAATTCATCAAAATTAATCAACCATAGATCGTTGATTAGTTCACGATGAATTACATTACAGATTCAGTTGCCTTTTAGTAATTTATGCAACTCCAATTGAATTAGAAAGAGTAAGCTGAGTAATTTCTTTTCGTTAGCCTTATATACAAACAAATGTAATTCATTGATTTATATCAGATATTTTGAATATAACCACTTTAATAATTAACAGAAACATAATGTAATTTGTTTGAACTGTAATTCTGACAATGACTGTTTTACATTCTATGACAATAAGGAAAATTGTTTCACATGAATTACACTTTATATGGTCGAATTAAATTTATATCACTAATTGATAAGATAAAAGTTTTTTTTTTGAAAATGAACTTCTTATGTATTTCTTTGAGCCATAATTTCTTTGCTGTCGACTCCAGTCCTATAATTAAGTCACTAGATAACTTCAATGTTATCGGTGTTATGTTTAAAGCTTCACTATTAGACGTATTCAAATAAAGAGTCCTGCAACACTGTTTACTTTCGTCCACTATCTTGGTCTTAAATTAGGTGGTTTGTTCAAGAG